AATACTCAGCCCCTCCCCTGGCCCTTACATGCAGAATCCTTTTACTGAACTTTTCAGTGACTGTGTACCAAATAAGGGCCAACTGGGTACACAAAGGTCAACTTGAAAGACTTCCCTAGAGCCACTTGCTTTAGAAATGATGCTGCTGACCTCACGAATGGTGAACTGATAACCTACAAGACTGAAGGTGGAAAATTCTTAGAGACGTCTGCCACAAGCACAAGAACGGAAAGGAAAATGATAAAATCCTGTGTTATGAGTGTTCGCCATCCTTTAGGCAAGAAGTGTGTGTAGGTGTCAAAGGAACAAAAGCTACCCGATAGATTAAAAGTTTATTCTAAAGCAAATTAGTATGTCCAGAAAAAATGCTTATATAATCCCACAAGGGGCTTAGAGAGGAATGGGAAACACCTGCAATATAAATGCAGATCACCTTTATTACAAAGTTGGGTCATATTCTGATTCCTAGCCTAATTTCCTATATCATAAAACCTATATTCAATTTTATAAATAGCGTAGAGCAAGAATCATAAATTTAGTTAATGCAGAAATTTAACAGATTTTTTTTAAAAAATGAGAGTGAGAAACGGCTGTTTCAGAGCAAGTATCAGAAAGGGTTCTTTCTTGGAAGCTGTTTTTCCCTCTGACGCCACCTCCTTGGGGACATAACTAGAGAGAAATAAATTTCACAGCTAATATATATGAAGTAACATGTTTAACATTATCCAATGAATTTATATCTACCTACAGCATATAAATTTATTCCACATAAACTGTCGCCTCCAACAGAATTCATTAAAATAACGTTACAGCTTCTGAATTAAATGCAATCTTCTAATTGGAATTTAATCTTACAATAGTAGTCGGTGGGTTTTATTTTTTAATTGACAAACGGAATAATTCATTCATGTGCTTCATAGTTCTCTCTGAAGGATATAACAGCACATTTGACACGGGGTGGCTGGCCACTGCTGCGAGAATGGAAGGTCATTCATGGCTATCCTGCCTCTGCTCGTGGGTAGCAAAGGATGGACACTGTCCATGCTGAATGCATGCATCACAAATATAGTCTATAACCTCCATGAAAACGTCTGATCTTCATCAAGCCAGACAATGGCTTCTATCACTGGCTGTTAGCCAATTAGCTATGTGGAAAATATTCAGCCAATTACATTACTTATATTAGGTTAGGGACTGGAGAGAGAGGCAAAATAAACGTGTTGAAAATACTGGGGAGATAAAATTTAAGTTGACACTGTCTCCGCATTCTAGAGCCCAAGTTATACAATCTGATAGGCAGCTGCCAGTGCTTATAAATGCTTATTAAATCTCGCTTCTCTTTATGGCATGAGAGAAGATCTGTATTTTTACCAATATTAGCTTCATTGTGTTATGAAAGAGACCAAAATACTTAAGATCATTCGCCCCAGCTTATAAAACATATTATATAGTTTATTAAATTGTTAAAATTACTTTTCAAAGTCAAAATTTCACAGACTGGAAGTTTAAGCACAACCAAGTGGCTTGGCCCAATGACAGGCTGCAACCCAAGGTGGCCCCAGAAAGGGATGTGTCATCCTGTACTTCTGTCTCAGATCTCTGGCAAACTGCATGCATCTCCCCTGAAATCTGAATGGTCATGACACCTCCTGAAACCAAGGGAGTGAGGAAGGGAAGGAGGAAGGGAGTTTGCTCTCAAGTTTTACTTAAAAAGCAAAGATGCCCAGCTTCACAAAGTAAGTAACCCCTTGCCTGACTTGAAGTGAAATGGGTTTGGACCTTCCAAGTTTCTACTTCTCTGCAAGTCAAAAGTTAAGAATGATCATGAGAAAGATCAAAAAGAAATCGAAACTAGGAAAACGGTGAAGTTGGTAAAGTGCTGGCCGCGCATGCATGAGGACCTGAGTTCAGGTCCCCAGCAATCATATATAAAAGCTGCACTTGTCATCTCAGCTCTGGGAAGCTAGAAACAGACTCAACAAGATTTGCCTTCTCTGCAAGTTCCAGGCAAGCAAGAGACCCAGTCTCCTAAAACAAGGTGATGTTGGATGAGGTTGATCCATGAGGTGCACGTGGGTGCATGAGAAAGGGTGCATGAGAAACTCGACACAAAAGAGTGAAAACAACACCAACAATGTGAGCAAATCACACACATCACTTGGTGCTCACAGTGTGTCATAAGATCTGCGGAGAGTTAGGTGATAGGGACCACATACGCCAGAGCACAGCCTGACAAATAAGCCAGAACCTCTGCTATTCCTCGTCAATCTTCTCGGGAACACTATGCAAATCCAGACTGTTATTATCACATTTATTAATAACCATGGCTAGCTGCCTATTAAATATGCAACAGACTTGGCCACTCTTTACTCCATGCCTCAGACAGGGAACGACATTAACTGATGCTTCATGCTCACACCAGGCAAACAGAAGGCAACTCAGAGGTCTTCCAGGTGAATGGCTGGCTTAAAGAGCCACAGCCCACAGACAGACTCCTCTTTCTCATTCCTTACCTTGTTACACAGATACTGTTTACTGCTAACATTGATTCAGTACATTCCCCATCTTCTGACCCTACAACTTTTGCTATCATGATCTATTTGTGCAAACCTTTTATCGCAGTTTCATTCCCCGGCACCCAAGGCAGGCAATGTGTGGTTCTAACCACCCACCCTGTGGACCTGACCTGCTTTACCATGAGGACACGTTCCAGGAAATGCTTCACTCAGAACAAGACTTGATTTTGAGACTAAAGACTGCAAATGCTTAGCAATTGTTTAGTTACTCAATAAACTATAGGGTGTAAAAGGCACACGATTATGACTGAGTTGACAGTGAAAGGACTCCACTGGCCTTCAGGTGTGCAGCATGTGGGCAGGACAAGTCACTGCAGCAAAGAGAATTTGTCCCTTGCTCAGTGCCTCAGAGACAACTTGGGGATGGATGAAAATATCAGAAGGAATGTTCCAGCTCACAGAACCTCTAACTTCCTACTAAAAACACAGCCACGGGAAGTTTACTGTAGCCTGGGAAACACAACGCATTTCCTTATTTATAAAAACTAACACTGCTATTCAATACGGCCTAACAGTAGTTCTTTTTTAAAAGAGTGATTTTCATTACAGTCCTTCAGACGGATTTTTCTGATAGTCTTAACAACTGAAATTGACAAGTAAAATAGGCCGACTATTCATTAAACCTATTCATGTGGTTTTGTTCAATTTCATACAACAATTTCATGACAACGAGACTGAGTCAGACTCTCAGTACTGAATTCAGGGGTGACAGGTAAGAGAGGCTGGGCTCAGTGACATTTCAAGACCTTCAGAATCCCAACCACTTCTATGAATTCTCATTTGTAATCCAGACAGACTAAAGCTCTACTCTCTACTCCACCTGTATGTGCGCCAACTGCTCACCCATCTGCAGGCCATTCACCAAGGCCTATCAAAAAGACTATCCACTGGAAGCCTTCTTTGAGGGACCCCCAGGCCTGGGTCAGGACCCAAAAACATTATTTAAGATTTCACTCAGCTCTAACAGTCCATGACATCATTGGCTGTTTTATTTTTATACTACGGACATCCTTGCCTCTTGTTTATTGCTGATTGTCTGCCTACTTCTTGTCAATGACTGCACAGAAAATAATGGAATGATATTGTCTCCCTGTCCGGCTGTAGTATAATGAAATGAAAAGTATGGCTAGTCTGCTAAGAAACATGAAAGCCAACAGACTCTTGAAGGGCAGCATGGTATACAGCAATGGGACTAGTTGTTTTGTAATGTTCTATGAAATCAGCATGTCAACATGCTCCCTAGCCATGAAATCTTCAACAATCTGGCCCAAACATCTGAATGTATAGCAGTGTTTCCGAGACGCACCCATCACCATATCCTGGAAAGAGTGGTCAATTGAGGACCAATTCCTATGTCCATTCCTAAACTAAGCTCAGGGACCGAGATATCGAATCAGACTGGATGGGCCTAGGCAGTGCCGTCTGTCCGTAAATGAAGAAGGTTTGAGCAACTGAGAGTGACACCATCTAATCCATCACCACACGTGGAATACATCACAGTATATGGAATACAGGGAATCAAAGGCAAGAGATTATATACTTGTCAGTTAATTACTAGTTAACTTTGAATATGTGTTCCTTTTGCCCTATTATGCTTCTCCCAATTAAATATATTTTGAATACAATTCCACTAATGAGATGAGTCTATGCCAATGGCTCTTAGTACCTCACATCATTCAACAAATACCTCACACTAAATGGTTCCTATAAATAGGCTCTATTCTAGGACAAAGCTACTATGGAAGGTCAGACATTTCCCCCAAAACCTGTGCCTCAGTAAGTGACTAGGTATAAGGGCAAGTCACAATTATTCATTATTACACGGGAAGCCATTGGTTTCTCAGGAACATGGTAGATGGTATCAAATATGGAAAATATACATAACAGGAAAATATGTTCCTTTTAACATGCCTCTGAATGACCTGATAAGGCAGGTGACAGGAGGAAAAGTCCCTAGAAATTTTTAAGAGAACTGTTGACAAACCAAAATTTGCAACCCTTTGACTTTTCCAGGAGCCCATTATGTGAGGGCTGATGACTGGGACCCTCTCCGGGAGCAAACTGGAACTAAAGATGAAGTAATCAGAGCTGTATAGCAGGGTGGCTTGTATTACTGGTAAGTTATGACAGGGCTCAAAAAGCAATTTCTCAGGCAATGGTGTATTCCTTCCAAATTCTGACTGTCCAAGCTTCAGAGTGTTATTAAAACAAAGAGCCAAGTGAGAAAAACTCCCTCATGTCTTCCTCAGATTTCTTTCAGAATTATCCTGAAAAGTTTAACAACGAGATGAACACCATGATCCGTCCCTGCTCTCACGATGTGCTCATTGCCTCCTTGGGGGGCCACAGTCTTCATTGACTCTTTTTTTTTTTTCTTTTTGGTCTTGTGACGTTTCAAATGAATAGTTACCAACTTTGACTCACCCTTTTGGCTAGCAGGCATCACACCCATCCATTCATGGCTGAAGGCAAGTCAGAGAAGGGGGCGCAGCCCTCACCATGGCCGAAAGGGTTCCCTTGGAAACTGGGATTGTCAGCAGAAGCTCCTGGGACACTGTAACACAAAAATGTTGTTTACACATAACTCCGATGTAACTTCTGAAACCACTACTTCCTTAAATGTGAAAACAGCAACACAGACACCACTGTAGACATGGGGAAAACACCGTTCCAGCAGTGTGATGCTAACAAGCAGGAACTGGAAGTTGTTTTTGAACGACAAAGGCCATTAGTTGAAACTTTTCTACCATCTTTTCAAATAGTTCAGCATTTCAAATGCACTGTGTCCTATCAGAAAGGGTTTGAGTAATATGAAACCATGTGAAGTCGAACCTTATACACATAAATAAAAGCATCTTTCTTTGTCAGATAATGCTCTTTGCCAGAGGATGAAAAAAAAAATCACTCAAAAGTGATTAAAAATAAAACTAATGAATTAAACTCATTTGAGATAATAATAATCATGAAGAAGAAACTAGTAACTGAACAATGTCATAATTTTATGCAAAATAATTCCATTTTAATATTCAGGTGGTCCTGAGTTCTGCAAGGGCCACACTCACGCACATATCCCCACTGAGAGTTTTGAGACAATGCAAAACTCCTCAGAATTGAGGAGCCTCAAATCCAGCCTCAGAACAGCCGTGTTCAACTGTGGCCCTTTGTACAAAGCCTTTCACATCTTGAGATTCCATCCAGTCTTGTCACCTGCAAATAGGCATCCACCAGTGCTCACATACCTCCTCTCAGCAGTCTTGGCTACCCTATCATAAAGCGTGGTTATTTTTAAGGAACTTCAAGTATTAGCTTCTCCTTTAACATCTTGATTATGAGGTTTATGACATGAATCACTCTATGCCCAACTGTCATCAACACCAAAGATGGGCTGTGGGCAGAGTGTTGCAAATGTTTAGAAAGACTTTGACTGTGGTACAGGGACCAAGTGCTATTGAGCTGGTGGTCAGTGCAGACAGCCTCCTCTGGGGGTCCACAGAAAGCTTCCCTTCCCCACTGGAACATGGCATCAACTCCACAGAAACTCAGTCCCAGTGTATTCCAGATCAGACCTTCTCCAACTGAGGAAGTATCACTGAAATCTGTTCAAAATGCAGACCTTGCTTTCCAGAACTCATTTAATATGTCTGAAGTGGACCTGAGACTACCCTGAAACCAAATGGCAAGTCTTGTGCTCCAGTTGTCACAGATATCCTTGAGTCACAAACTCAGATTGTCTCCCAGACTTAAAGACGTTCCCCAAAGCTATGGAGTCTCTCACATAGCAAAAAGTCATATGCTAGGGCAGGCCCTCATTCTCTGGGTAAAATCTAAGCACAGTCTAAAGAGCCCTACATCACCTGCTCTCTGATTCCTTGATAGGACCTCATTCTACCAATTCTGCCCCTCACTACAGCCAAAGCAGACCCAGTAGGCTTCTTCCTGCTCAAAGTGAGCCACAGGTCTGGTGTCCTTGTCAGTCCAGCCCCTGGCATCCTACCAGTCTACTCCTTACAGGGAGGGTTCTTTCTCATCTGAGTACTAGGGGCACAAGTTACTTCAAGAGCCTGTCCTACAAACTAAAGCCTACCTCATACTTATCCCCAATTGTATCAACCTAGTTGCCAGCATTGTTTCCAAACCCTTGCCTCGTTTATTCGCCTGTGTTCCTCATTAGACTATCACTTCCATGAGAAAAAGGGTTTGCCCGTCACTTTAAAACTCCCAGAAAAGCACTGCCCGCAAAGAGGCACACCATACAGATGTTTAGTCAACAAATGACTCAAAAATTACAATTAGTAAATCAGCACCTTCTAAAGAAGAACTGCCATCAATACATAGCTAGATAGAAGATACTGTCTAAAGGATTTCACAATCATTAATCCATTCCATAAGAAATGTGTTATAGGGCCTGAAAGACAGTTCAGCAGTTAAGAGCACTGGCTGCTCCTTCAGAGACCCCAGGTTTGATTCCCAGCATCCATATGGTAACTCACAAATTAGCTATAACCACCATTCTAGGGAATCTGACACCATCTTCTGGTCTTTATAGGCAAATGCAAATAGTGCACACATGTATGCTGGCAAAACACCCACTGGAACGGGATGGAATGGAATGGAATGTTAGGATAGAACAAAATAAATAGAACAGAATAGAACTTGTATTACTAAGTAGCTAATATAGATACTGAGGCACAGAGAATCCCAGTGATTGTAAACTTACTGTAAAGCTTACTCCAAGAAATGCACTTTCCCAAGCCACTGCACAAATGCAAAGTTTCAGATCCTAAATTAGATGGCCTTCTGACATAGGCTTCTGAAGCAGCCCCGATCAGTTGAGCCTTGGCTACGAGACCTTGTGGAAGACACTTCGTCTCTCATCAGGGAATCCTCCTTTTACGTATAGGAAGAGCTAAAGCACCCACAATCATTAGGCACATAGCAACACACAGTGCGGTTTCTAGGGCATCTGCTGCCACAGACAAGTGCACTAAGTCAGATTTCCTCCAGCAGATTCCAGACGCGTTCCAAGATAGCACCTGATATCCTTAATAGTTTATATTTAAAGAAGGAAAAGGGGGAGGAAGAGGAAGAGTAGAAGGGAAGGAAGAAAGAATTAAAAAAGAATGGCTGAAGTTACTCTTTTGTCTCTGATTCTAGAACAACTTAGAAGTCCAGAGGAGTGGGAGTAGTGCCAGTGAGCACAGGAGGGGGCGGGGTTAACCACAGAAAGTTTCTGGTCAGCTGATTCCTTTTTGGAGGAACTGCCTTCAGCAAGTTTTAGAAGGAATTAGAAGCTGGGATAGAAGAAGGGTAGCAGAGTCCAAATTCCTACTGAACAGCCTGGGGCTAGGCAGTGAGCAAAGGGCCAGCAAAGCAGAGAGAGTGAGGCTGAGCAGAAGACTGCCCCGAGGGGTTTTCTTTTCCTAAGTGACTAGGGCAGCTTTCCAGTCAAGCCACTGGTGGGTCAAGCCACAGCCTGGGACTCTGCTCAGCAACTCTATCAGGATTCACTTAAAATGCAGAAGGGTAACTGGGAATACCCAAAAATAAAGAACCAAGTTCCACAGTGGTTTGTGGGACAATTCTGTTTGGTTTGGGGGTGTTTGGTTGAGCATCCACCAGACAGACACTGTTTCCACTCAGCTTTGTAACTAACTAGAACGCTTAACTGCTCTGAGCTCCAGAAATGAAAAATACAGCCACTGAAGAAAGACAGATATCCAAATAAATTATCCAGAACACTGCCCAGAGGCAAAAGCTGTCTACCTAGAAGTGTATACCCAGAAAAACTATCTTTCGAAACAGAAGGTGAAAAGAGAGCCTTCCAGACAAAAAGGAGTTTATCACTTCTTTTGGGGGACAGTCTGAGAGATTAGTGGTAAGCTAAAAGAAAATTATTTCAAAGAACGGTTCTTTGATTTCACTATGTAGTGTCGAGCCAAAATAATGGGAGCCTGAGAGGAAACAAGCAAATGCATTAACAGAGCAAAGGGCAGGTCTCAAAATTTTTAAATATACATGAACACACACCCCAGTCCTAGACTTCTTATTCAAACTCATTTGTTCTTTCTTCACACTGTAGTTATGTCAATCACCAAGAGCAGGGTGGCATATTCAAGCCGAGGCACTAGATTTAGAAGCAGATCCTACCTTCCATACAGGCCCTTCTCCATCAGCTTGCAGAGATCTGCATGGCTACCCCAGGAAACTACAGCCCACCATATTTCTCCCTGAGCTCTCCAGGCCAAGACACTGGGGGCGCAGTCCTGGGCAGTTCTGGCTGCAAGCATCACAGGGGCATTGTTCTCCTCCACTCCCCTACAGCCCTAAAGAGGCCTGAGCCCAGGAGGTCAGCTGTAACACTGCTCCAACCTGCTAATCAAGAGCTGCAATAAATTAAAAGCCCATTAAAATATTTTAGAAAAAGCCTAGAAGTGCTCAAACATTAATTGTGCCATATTCAATCTGTTTTCCTAGAGATTTGAAAAGCCAGATTACCACCCTGGGGGTCATTAGAAAGAATGAAGCTTTCTCCCTTTTCCATTTACATATTTAAAAATGCATACATCCTGGCAGTGGTCAGTAACTCCTTTCCAAGGCTTTGCAAGTCCTGTGGCTACTTCCAAATGCCACTGTCTCGCCACACAGAAGGGAGGCCCAAGGGAGCCTAGTCTGCTTTGTTTTGTTTTGGGGTTTTGGGTTTTTTTGGGGGGAGGGGTTGTTTTGTTTTGTTTTTTAAAGCAACAGAACCAAAGCCCAGGGCCCTTGGTTGCAAAACAGCTCTGGGAAAAACAGGTAGAGGCAGCAACAAAACAACAGTGATGTTTTCTTGTTTTGTTCTCCCCTGTTTATTTTCCCCTGAAGCAATCACTGCTTGGTACAAAAGTCTGCAGGGAGCTGGGAAGAGCAGCTGTGGTTCCCCGGAGGCCAGGACCCAGCAATCAAGTTGTTTACCAAACACTGCCAGGCACCGGGAAAACAACAACAGCACAGGCAGGCTTTGCATCTATTTTTCAAAAACAACCTCCCAAACCCTGGGTTGCTGGGGAACCGCCCTGCATAGCTCTGGCTGAGAAGAGAAGTGGGAAATTAAAGGCATGGACTGCACTGAGTGACTGCCCTCCCTCCCCCAAGGTCTGCATGTAATCAGGATTCCATTTCTACTGAAGACTGTCTATCCTAAAAGGGAGGACTGAGCGCCAGCAGAAATGCAAGCAGTGAATTCATGCATGAGGCATTTCCAAGCTTACATTCCAGGGAGGCTCTGTCCATAAGCCCCCAGGGGTGGTTTTCCATTTTGATCAAGCAAGAGGGTCTATGTGGGGCTTTCTAAAACACAGGCCCTAGTATTCAGGAGGTTGATCTAACATAGGGACTGGGAATTTCTAGAACGTTCTGAAGTGATGCTGGTATTCCTGGTGAGACTCTCTGCTAGGAAGCTAGATGACCTCTCATTTAGCCCTGCTGAAGACTGGGGGATGTGTTCTCCATTTGGACCTCTTCTAGTGGCTCAACAGGGAAAGCATGGCAGTATAATGTACAAAGATATTCCCCAAA